ACTTCCTTAACTCGTATAAGTAATCTTTCTGGCAGTGCAGATAATAACCATATCTTCGATTGTTCCATCAGGCTTTTTCGTCCATTAAGTGATTAAAAAAATTGGATGATATTGTAGATTTGATGTTTCATGAACATAACTGCTAATAAGATTCTGATAAACCATCTGGCATTTTTTGAGATCTGTCCTCACTTTTTATGACAACTGCCATCACAATTTGGGAAAAAGATTCTAGATATTGTGACACAATGAATCGATCAATGTTAGAACATCATTAGAAACTTGGAACTGGTGTGGGACTCCTCAGCAGTGCGCATCCATAACTCCTGCAGCCAGCAGGGCTCGAACCCAGGACCAAAGGTATTGTAGGCGAACGCCTAACCACCGGACCACTGAGCCGATATCTAACGATGCTAATGTCTAACTCGATCAATTCACGGAGTTGCGCAACCTCATACACGGTCTCCGGTAGTTACTGTCTACAGCCGAACAGGTTGAACTTCACTGGTTACGTCTTCCCACTAGAACTCGGAGAAGATTCCTCACCAAGTTAGTCAATAGTGAGCACAGGTAATTTGTATTACGGGGTTGAGAAGATTCTTAAGTTTTATTGATGCGCACTGCTGAGGAGTCCCATACCAGGACGAAACGGCCGTCCTGTGCTTCCAGGTTACTAATGGTGGTCTAACATTGATCGATTCATGGTTTCAATAAAACCTAACAATCTTCACAACCCCGTAATACAATTGTAGGAGTAAATTTTTCAGAATTTTTTCAGAATTCTGATACGACTGGTTCTAATAGTGTCAAAGTGAAACCATCAAATCGTCTATACACATATCTAACTAATAAAACATTAAAATTTAACAAATATAAGAAAATTATTTAACGGAAGAGAGATGTACGAATACAAAGTAGAATAGTGTACAACGAAAAAATAATGTAATGATTTGTATTTATTTTTAAACAAATCCTTTTAATCTTAGAATTAAATTATTGAATCGATAACAAAGTGTTCGTTGCAGCCAATGAAGTTTCGTATCTGCAATGACCATCCATGTATGAAATTGCAGCCGCAGTTATTCGAGTCAGCTATTTCATTTACTGTTTTAATCTACTTAAGATAATATGTTGATATGAAATAGGCCTAAATGAATACACAGCGTAAGAATTAGTATGGGAGGATGACGATCACATAAGTAGAAGCGGAAACAAGCTCGAGAGTTTGACATGTGGCTTATCTGAATTCCTACAGAACTGATGGAGCTTGAGGTACCACTTTAGACTGTAATTTATAGTGCAAAAACGCGAATTGTAGTAGAGGTCGTGGTTTAATTGTTTTCTAATTTATATCGTCCATAGTCACATGCTATTAATTCGCTTGACACTGTACTGAATACCAATAATCACTGTTTTCTCACATTAAAAGTATCTTCAATTTGTTAACAGTATCGCTGTTTTGGAGGAACGTTTCTCCAGAAACTTCTTTGACACCTCAATATCTCTGTGTAAAGTAATTAATTATAAGATGGTTTTTGACTATTATCCCACTCCAAATTAATGGTCAGTATCATTCGAGTATGAAATTGAAAACATGTGTACATGTGTATATCTGTATTTATCAAACACTAGGACTATAAAAAAATTCCAATCAATAAAAATGAGAACTCATGTACAGTGAATATGCTTAAGATCTCGACTCGATGATTTAATCCTTTTCGCTTATATTGGTAAATGAAATAGGGTGTACTCGTTAATATCTACTTAGAACTTAAATTAACATTGATTGTTTGGGTTCCAGACTACTTTTTCTAATCAATGCTCTTTTTAAACACTAGACTTTCAAGTTAGTCTTTTCACAGATGGTTTGTTTAAAATTAGTTTCCCAAAAAGCAAGTGTTACCATTGACTAAATTTCAGGAACACATAAATACTGTAATATTTCTTTAGCTATCTTTTCCAAACAAGTAACCTAACTACCTTGTTATCTGGTCTTCAGTTTTCATTATTATTACTGAAACTGAGAGTTGACGAACTATGTTTCATCACACCCATTGTAATGGAACCTTACAATTGAATCTATCTATATTTCGGTGTAATCTAAAACTTGCATTACTTAGCTCAGTGTTTTGAAAATCGCTGATGGACTAATTACAGACTACGAAAAACAGAAAGTTTACTACTCAGATTTATGGTAATATGTATATAATGAGAACCATGGAAGATGAACCGAAACCTTTGTGTACAATTTTAACAAAGAATCAAATGCTTATATACTCAGTTCACGATCTTGCAATGTATATCTTTTTTAGGAGTTGAGTTAGATGTTTATGGTACGTGAAATGAAGCTATTACACCATTTCGAACAAGTTTTTGATCGATATATTAAGTAACTTTGTTCCATTATGTTATAAGTATCATTAACAATGCACTCTCTAATTAGTTCCCGATATACGTTGACAAGGTAACTAACTCACTTCACTTCAACTCCATGTAATTATCATTAAGGCCAATTTCGATCATCTAGGTGATATTCCTAAAACATAGAACTTTGGGAATTATTATCTCAATGTCCCATTATTTTGATCTTTTGAATTAAAAAGCCCTTAATTTCCAATAACATAACGTACAACAATAGCTAGTACGTTCACTGGAAGCTTACAGTAAGGAGAATATAAACATACGCCAATACGGCCCTTTACTAACTATATCGTAGAAATATAAACTACCACTAATAAAAGACCGAAAAATAGTCCCAAAAGTTTTAACTTTGCCTATACTCGTCCTATTTCAACAGCCTGGTTTATACACTCAATTTTGAAGAAATTTTCAAAAGTATTTAATTTTTCACCATGTTTTCTGATCATAGTTACTCTTTTGTAACTACTGATTAACATGGTCCTGTTTTTGATAAAGAATATATATTGTCGAGTTAACAGTTCTAACTAGGAAATAAATGGCTCTCTTATTCAAAAAGTAACATTGATATGTATATCTATTACTTGATTTGAATAATTCACTCGTTAGTTATTAGTGGCTGTTTTATGAGAATATGACTTAATACCTAATTAGATAATTAATGTATAGGAAATCATTGACCTGAATTCTAGATTTCAAATAATTAACGGATTAGAATACAATATAATCCAAACTAGTATTCAGTATTCATGTACATGTAAACTAATTTCGTTTAAAAACCATTACCATTTTTTTCAAGCAGAATAAAATTTAGAAGTGACCTAAAAGTTAATTAATAATAACTAGAAATTTTCATAGACCAGAAAATAAAACCAAATTTTGCATCCATTGATTCTTGATTTTTAAATAGATTAATTAAAGTACATATTAAAATGAATTGAATGTCTTATTTTCTTGTCAAAAGCGCCACTTATTACTTTTAAGTTGCGTTTCCCGCTTGGAAGGATCTTAAACCACATTAGTTAGTTTCATCTTTTAGTGTGATATTTTGTAATACATTTTGTATTTTATATATTATGCTTGAATTGAATGCTTTTTAATTAGTTAGCTCGAGCCCACTTGTGGGTTGGATATTCTTCCTGATAAATTTGGACTTCTTGTTCTAGTTAGCTCGGCTGGGTCAGGTTGAAGAGAAGAGCTTGGCTGTTCTGTTATTGTGTCATTAATTTACGTTCCGTTCGCCGATATTAAGTCGTATCTTAATCAACACAAGCACAACATGTCGATTCATGTACACATTAGTAATGAACAGGAATATTTTTAGATTGTCCGTTATATATACATGTGTCAATTTCCAGATTAGTAATCATGCTAACAATGGTGAATAAAATGCTTGTCGGAATAATCAAACTAGGAAATGCTAATTTATTCCTTGAAAGAAATATTTTCAATAATTATGGGAGCTAATATTATTTTCAAGTATACTGTCACTAATTATTTACTTCTAGATGTGTGTATGAAGTTGTTAAATATATAAACCATTAATATGCATTTGTACTTTTTGATCATTTCTCTAAACACATAACTTTAATGTCGAACCTCATTGACAAATGCTGTGAGATGATACGATTTCTACTCTGTTCCACATTTATCTTATCACAACTTATAGTGATTTGTCTACTCATGAAGAATAAATCACATTATTCTTAATGGTCAACATAAACTTTAATTTACAAACTCTCTACTTTAAATTTAATAAATAACCTGTTAGGAATGTTAGATCCGCAGAATTCACTAGGGAAAGGTCCTAATTTTGTAATTTTATTCTGAAATTTTGAATTTCTATGTTTTCGAGCCAGAGATGCTAAGTTTACTTTTAGCTTACACGTTCCCCTTGGAAAATCGTTTACTGTCATTGGTTGATGGATTATTTTAGAATGCTATTTTGTGGCTCTCCCAAGGGCATCTCTGTCGTTGTATAAATAAGCTTGATTTGTGTGCTTAGCAATCTCGTATTTTCTGGGTGCTTCTAGAACACATTCTCTACGCCTTATCAAGACTTCTTGACCTAGTTAGCAGGACCTGGGACAAACGGATTAGAATAGCCTATCGTGTCAATGTATTGCTGATCTTCGTTCCGTTTACCGAGTAAGGTGAACTCATAATAATTTCAACCATATCATAACCATAATTTCAAATTTATTCTATGTGGATGATGATACATTTTTTCTCAAAATGATAAAAGTTAATATTTGGTCTAATGAAAGAAAATCATTAAAACAGCAAAAACACTGGCAATTTACAGAATTTTCAATTTATATATATCAAACAATACAAGTGAATAATTAAAATAAATCTACATTACTCCCTGATTTCCAATGATTATCTATCCAAAGTCAGTGTCTGATTTAAACCATGAATTGGATAAGTTACATAAACCTTCTCTTCTGGTTAATAAAACAAATCTACAATGAATTACTGAGTAAACAAATGAACAATTTCAACAATTCCAATTGTGCTCCATCAGTAACACGAAAACCAGTAACAACTCATACGAAATGTTATATATATTTATTATTGATTCCATCATCAAATACCCAGTTACAAGGGCAACGTTACACTAAAAATACACACTGTTTATGTCTACTATAATTTAACGTTAATAAACAAGTAAATAAATCCTCCAAATGAGAGAGTAATTAGGAACAAATGAACCATTGATGCAAGAATGTAGTCTTCAAATCTATAATATATTTCTCTGCCTCCACATAGTAATTGAGCTTCAATTAAACTAGCCTAAAATCATGATGAAAATGTAGAAATTCAGTTTCAGGACACTGGCAGATTCTTACTTATTCGTCTGGTATCAAAAGATTTTGGATTATAAGTGACTAATTTATTTGAAATTGAAATATACTTAACGTAATTAATTTGTTGAGTGTTAAAGTTATTTCTTGTTGTGCTTTACCAGTATTAGACAATTCAAGTCGTTTACAAATATCTAGAATAAATCATTCATTCATATATTACGAAATTACAAACTAAAACAGTATGCTTTAAGTTTAATGAGTTCACTTTAAACTTATGTGGTCGAAGAAGTTATCAGGTGTAAAATAGGAAATATTCCGAAGTATTACTCGATATATGCAGTTACGTATAAAAAAATAACTATGTATATATATTACAATTTCCTCAATCGCTCAAAACAGTAAATTATTTTCAAGTTGCCACATCTTACTACCATCAATAACACACTGTATTCTATCTGAACCGATTGCATATTAACAATTTACACTATGAGATTTCGATTCAACAGTATTCAATGTTCCCAAAAATGTTGAATCCACACATTTAACATTTTGCTTTCGTTTTCATACCCAATTTAAAATAAGTATTAGATTATTATGAATTCAAAGCATTTGAACATTCCTTCAAATGTTTGCTGCGATTCCCCACGTAAATAACTTTATCCAGTGAAACATATTGTCAGTGGACATTGACTAATAATACACTGGTATGTTTATATCCCACTGATGTTATACGATATAATTTTAACCCGTTCACTCATACATTTGGGTTGAAAAAAGTTAATCAGCCAGCAATTACATTTTATTCAAAGTATACACTCACAGGAATCACGATGGCCAAAACAAGGGGACCAATCGCCCATTCCACCTGGAATTCAAAGTTAAGTTATTAATTAATGGGAAATCAACTGTTTAACTGTTAGTTTCCTACAGACCACCAGTGAATTAGTGAAGTTATTTTTTTCAATTAGAGTTATGGATATTAGTGTACACATTGAAATCATCAATCAGTAAATCATTGTTAGACCACCAATAAGAACCTGGAAGAACCAGAAGGCCGTTTTGTCCTGGTGCGGCACTCATCAGCTGTACGCATCTACGACGCCTGAAACTCGTATGGTTCGAACCCAGGATTTCCGGTCTTGTGCGTGAACGACTAGCCTCCGGACCACTGGGCCGGTATCCAACGGTGTTAGATTAATTTATATGATATCTTATTCAACAAACTGGCGTTGCGAGTGTTCGATAACTGAGAAATCTGGACCAAAATGGAGTTAACTGTAGTATTCTCTGAAAATTATGAGGGCATAAAAGATTAGTTTAATATTTGAGAAATATTAAGCCAAACTTCATATAGAAAAATCACAAATAGAGAGGATGTATCAATCCTCGAGAAGATGATTTTCACATGAATCGATACTACAAAGAAACTTATAGTGTATTAATATTCAGATTATTTCTCTAAAATTTTGCTTCATTAGATGACATAATGAATCTATCTTTAGCAAGTTTCCTTCCTAATACTAATGGTATAGAGACATGAAATAATACTAGTACTAAAACAGTAACTGGGCGTCATTCTGTTTTCCTTATCACACAATGCCATTCTCTTAACGATAGTGTTGAATATTATCTCTTTCTTAAAGATGTTTACAACCCTATTCATAATCACAGTAATCTATCCATTGTGAATCACAAGTGAAATTCCGGTAGCCTCAATAATTCATCTGACTAATACAAATTTCCTAGATTTTAAACAGATTTACGATCCTTGCGTAAATCAGTATAATTCCACCTTGGCATGTGAAACTTGTCAGTCACTGACGAAAACCACCAATTAAAATGTTGAATAACTGATTTCCATGTTGATTCTGGTAACCGCCTCTACACAACTGAGTTGGTAAACAAATTATCAACAATATTCCACTGTCCTATTACTAAGTTGCTTAGTCAGTGTAACGAAAAGCAAATCAATTATGGCACCAGGTAATGCAATTTTAACTTGTAGAGATGTCTGTGACTGAATAGTTTTGAACAAATGCTTCTACCAGCCATTTTGAAGGCGCTCACAAAAATGATCGACGCTGAAATCCTTTTAAAAACGATAACTGTTCTCTCATGTCATCTAATTCAGTTTCCGACATGACCTTCTGCGAAGGGATTGACTGTTATTGCTTTTAGTTCACCAAATTGTCACACGCTTGAAGGTCATTTTTGGCACACTAGTTACCAGGTTGTAACAATATGTTTTGTATTGCTCGTCATACCTCAAACATCAAGTTCTCTACCATTCGTCTTTTTGTGTTAGCCATCAAGTGTTGATGTGTTGTCGGTAAATTGCTGTTGTCGATTTCGAATAGAACCAGTCTTATAAGAGTAGCCTAACAGGTTGTCTGTAGATCTCTAAGTATCGTACAATCGACAACTGTACAATGTTGTCCAGTAAGTTCGTACAGTACCTCAATAACGAAATGCTACAACCATCTTTACTCCTAAGATTTGAAATTAATCGTGTCGACATTCTGATTCTCACTGATTAAAGTCGACATTTCAAATATTCAAAAACACTGCATAATTAGCATATATTGGAAGCTGTTACACACACAAATGACTAACAGTCAACTGCATTGACTGATCAAACCAAATAAAATGAGGTATTGACAATAATACATCGTCAATAGGATTCATCACAACTACTTTGACAATTACGCAATAGATAATGTGCAACAGTAATGTTATTTCTTTGAGTAGGTATTTAGAAATCGTTGAAGAATGTTATAAGATATATAACAGTGGTTCAGGATATGTCGAAATTCCTAATCATTAGTCGTTTTATTAAAATATAAACTAATTAAAACTCACTCCATGTACTTTAAAACTCGATGCCAATGCCAGTCCAAAAATAATAAGCATTACACAAGCGGCATAAATCAAAAACGAATTTAAATAAGTGACCAAAGAGTGTTTTATTTTTATTCCAACTAAAAACAATATCACTGATAGAATGATGGCCATCATCCAACTGATGAATATAAATATTTCTTCCACATTGATTGAAAGAAAGGTTACCACACCAGCGAAGCTAAAGGTCTTGAAATAAGCCAGCAAAACATTCTATCAGTAATATCAACTATTACCTAACAGATTCTCTATGATAAATTACTACAAAATTGTAAAAAATATCTTAGCATAATAATTAGTTGCACTATAGAATATTCCTTAAATGCTTAAGCACTGAGTGGTTGTAAATAAGTCGTTTGTTTAACAAATAACTAGATAAGTCATAAAATCTCTTTCGGATAAGCTTTAAAGTATATGAATATTATCAGTTTTGCAATACTTAATTTGATGATACGTTTGTCTTGTCTGCTCGTATATTCATTAAAGCATCAGAATTCTGGATTAATATCATACTCATGTAGTCGTAATTTATTATTAGTGATCATTTTATCAAGTAGAACGGATGTTTAAGTGAAATGCATATAGTTGGTAAACTATGCAGTCCTTCGTAAATTCAAAGGTTGTCATCAATTTTCTAACGATCTGCAAACATGCTTCTCCCAACTAAAAACACTGTTCTAGAATCATGTACCCAGAGGATTTTCCTGAGAGTGAGTCAGTGCACAGAAAGCGATGATTTTGTCAACACAGATAGAAGATGTTGATCTATAGCTGACGACCTCATTAACTTATTTTACCTATTCACAAAACAATCTAGCGTATATAATGCGTATCAAAAAAGCGTGACGTTATTTTTGTATCCAATAATCCAAAATCAAGCGTTTATTGTTTTCAATAAAAATATGTTGACATTTTCTTATCTTTATTATTAAATACCACTTACAAAAAGTGTATAGAATAAATCCGTGAGAAATTTCAAATGTGGAAATCTCTGAATAATGAAAATTGCAATTGTTGCACCTATCGAAATTAGACTGCAATGTAAAATATACAGCATTTGACCGATTTTATTGGCACAGTTCAATACAATTTAAAATATGTAGTTGAAAGATTCTAAAGAGACTGTTTACTTGCATAAAATACCTGGAATCATGAGAATGTCACAAATGATATGATCGGATCAAACCGTATAAATCCCGATAAAATATATGCATAGTCGAGTAGCATAATAATCTGTCATTATAAGAATACAGGTTGAAGATACGAAAAACGATTTCTTTTTTAGATGAACCAGTCATCAATCTCATGATAAACTGTTATAGAAAATGGGATTCTGTCCAACATTTTTATAAAACCATCTGACTGCACTAGAAAAGTTAGCTATTGAAACTAAAATTCATCGCCTATCTGTTGTTCATACTAGATTTTTGGTATTCATGAAGTTTTCTAATTATTTTCTGTACAACCTAAATAAATCAAACCTTAAAGAATTGTTCATTTAGTTAAATACATTTTAACTTCATAATACACAGAATATGTGTGTAATCCGTACGTGTACAAAATATCTGTATACTAGATTATCAAATGCAGTTTAAACCTACGAGGATGGTTTCCCATTCTTCCATTGGATTTAATACACTTACCTTAAAATAAAACCAACCCAAGAGTGCTTGTCAAGAGCTATGATAAATTTACTTCTAAAACAAAATTAATAAACATCTGAATTACGGTTAAATGACATACTTAACAAACACTAATGCAGTCATCAACATTGATAAATAAATTTGAAGAACATTGGTTAAAAATACCTTAATTTCAAAGTGAAGAAATTCAGTTGATTTACTTTCACTATAAACCGACTGCGCGGTGGGATGCCTAGATAAAATGACTTGGAATTTGTAAATATTATTGTTGGATTATTATATTGCATTCCATCATTGTCAGTATGCAATCCTAGTGAGAGAGGATTTTACAGAAGAGTATTAGTGAGTAACCAGTTACTTAAAGTTAGTGTTGTATCTCGAGATATGGTTTTGTGCGAGATTACAATACTTAAAAATCTAGAGAAAACTGATTGAGCTATAGCTCAATAAGCAACAATGCGAAAATAAAGACGAGCTTGAAGGAAGGCAGAAAGTTCATGACATGATATTTTTACTAGTTGATTTTTAACACGTTGTTTACCGCCTATTCCTTTGTTGTTGTAAGGTCTTCTTCAAGCTCAAATGAAACTGTCCCAATTTTTATGAACCTCCAGATGTTTGCTCTGTCTATTTAGATCAGTCGCATCCAGCTAATTCAATGTAACAGATGATTTATAAATATTAAGAAGAGGGATGAACCTAACTCGGTCTCCTCTGAAATTTCTGATACTAAGCTTGCCAGCTCGCTTGCATGCTATTTAACTTTGTACGAGACTTACTGTTCTCTAAATATTTTCAGAGCCATGGTTGAAATGGACCAATGAGGCCCATTTTCATAACCCTCGTTGTTAGGAGGAGTACGTGCAGTGCTGTGTCGAATGCGTTGGTGAAATCACGGAATAGTACATGAGCTGGTATATTTTGGTCCTAGCGGGTTGTTCAGCTTTCCCAAGCTATGAGAAGGTTTGATATTCAGGACCTATCTTTCTTAAATCCGTGTTTGGCTTCATGGAGGATGTTAAACCCAGTGCCTGAACAGCTTTTATCAACGAAGATTAATGAAAAGATCAAGTACAGAAAAACTATAAGATTTACTTAGATGTTAATGAACTTGAATATATAAAGGTTGAATATATAAATATTCTGAAATTCAATCTAAGAGCACAGAAACATAATTATTCATAGATAAGATATATTTACAGATAAGGTGATATAAGGTATTTTAGCTGGTTTTAATGGATTGTACAATGATGTTTAAGGCGCATGAAGCTTATGAGAAATAGCGAAATATGATGGATTTATGCTTTTCTTGCTTCAGTCAAATTTATCAATCGGAAAATTCGACAATCTCAGAAAAGAACTATCTACACAATAACTCAAATTTTTGTGATCGTATTTCTGGTAGTAATAAATAGCATTTCAAACTGTGTCGTGTAACTCAGCATTTACAATGATTTCAGTTTTAGAACGTGATGTGCAACCAATTAAATAAAGCAACTGGCGAGACTATAGTGCCCTTTAGAAGCTTCAATCACTTACTGGGGTCGAATTATTGTTATAAATTAGTACGAAGGACTAGGATTGGCAGTTAGTGTTAGGTGTTGAGGTTACGAATAAAGTGTGAAGGTTTTCATCACTAAATGACATCAACTGCTGTAAAATTGTGCGAATAAATAAATCAACAGTCGCAACCTTAAATCTGATTGATTCGTTCATAAATTATGATCCCCATAATAAACTCCTGTCCACAAAGTATCTACACTTATCTTTGAAAAAGTCCTGACAGTATGGATACATTTCAAAAGAAACTGATTAATGATAGTCCTAAACATCACTTGGAAGATTCAAAAAATCAACATTTGTAAAATAAGTATATAACCTTATTGGTTTAACTTTATTATTTCCGGCCATATTCATGAAAAAAATATATCAACATAAACACAAACCTTCATTTGAATCTTCATGAAACATTAGCTGTGTTCACATGTGCTGCTTGTTGAAGTTGGTCAACTTAGTCAATATTATTTATCATGTTGCTTTTATTTCAGATGATCAATTTACATCAAACAAATTTTAAACAAATCAAAGTTCAAATCAGATAGTGTGAATATATTTGTTACACCTAATACCAGTGTAATTCAAAAATTTGAAAACATAATTATTGGTGATATTTTTGATGATATAAATGAAAAAGTACATTTTTACACAGATTTTTGTACGTATGCTGTGGGTGTTTTGGCAATGTAATAATTCATTTTAATGAAATCACATTCAATTGACATGTATTTATCTATACATAGGTCTATACTGAACAGATAGTTTTCGTAAGATTCGAAGTTATTAATCATACTCGTTGATTTATTCAAATCTGAAACGAAATTTGTTTTTCTAGATAAAATGTTATCAATGAAACTTTAGCCTAACGAGGAGCATTCATTAAATGCTCGAATTCATTTTTGACAAGTTATTTATTCAGTCAAGTGAATACTATAAAACTCCCTGTACTCGAATGTTTGACATTTCTAATTGAGTTGTTCAATTGACAATAATTCAAGTCGTATAATTCGGAATAATGTTAATACTTAAAGGATGCTACAGTTTAAAACATCAAGTTGAAAAAAACAACTTCCATGAAATCGTTTAATACATTTATTTACTGAATAAACCTTAACTCAATGGATCAAGGATCAAACGGTTGATGGATGATAAAGATAATGACGTTTCAAAATTATTTGCTTCCTTTGATTATCGAAGCGTATTTCTGATGTTATTGTTGTTGTACATATTTTACTGATTGTAGTTACTGGACAAACAAAAAGAAGAAGTAACCAACAATTCTGTTGAATTACTTTTGGTTCACTTTATGCTATATCAAGAAGAAGATTAGAGGAACGGTAACTTCCAGGACTGATTTGTGGATTATTGCTATGAATGACCTTATTGTATAATTATTCAGTAACTAGATTTATGAATGTATACATACACTTTCCTTTCATTATGACCTTCGGATGAACTCATGAACTACTGTTGTCTGATATCTAATTCCTAATTTATTGCTAGTTTGTTATTCAAAGTATCCCCAAGTTACAGCAATCTTCGGCCCTTACTTACCGCTTGTTACCACTCGTGGAGCATAGGCCACCGACAAGTATTCCCCATTCTACTCTGTCCTGGGCATGCCTTACCAATTCTACCCAACTGTCATTCATTCTTTTTATGTTTGCCTTCAATTCTCGGATTAATGTGTTGTTTGGTCTTCCTCTATTCCTTTGATGTTGAGGATACCAAGTTAGGGCTTGCCTTGTGACACAGTTAGGTGATTCCACAATGTGTGACCTAACCAACTCTAACGCTTTTTCCTAATTTCTTCCTCAACCGGAATCTGACTTGTTCTCTCTGTGGATTGCTGCTGATGGTGTCTGGCTAACGGATGAGGAGAATCTTGTCTAGACGACTGTTGCTAAACACCTGTATCTTGTGGAAGACGGTTTCCGGTGTTTTCCAACTTTCTGATTTGGTTGTTGGTTGGCAGATGGTTGTTTTGAGTTCCATATGTTGTTCAACTGTAGAAACGCTTCCCTTGCTCTGCCGATTCGCGTCCGCACACCTGCATCAGAAACACCTTGTTTATCAATGATGCTGACCAGATATGTGAAAATTTGCACATTTTCCAAAGATTTTCCATCAGAAGTGATTTGGTTGTTGCATGCTGTGTTTTATCGGAGAACCTTGCTTTTCCTTCTATGTATGGTGAGACCTATTGCAGCAGAGGCTGCAGCTATACTAGTTGTATTCGACTGCCCTTGTTGTTGCATGTTGAATAGTAGAGACAGATTATCTTCAAAGTCCAAATCGTCAGGCTGTAAAAGAGCTGTCCAGTGTATCCCGTGCTTCCCCATATGTTGACGTCTCCATAATTCCAGTCGATAACCAGAAGGAAGAGAAAGGGTGAGAGTAAGCGATCTTCCTGAATACCGATCATCACTTTGAATGAGATTTTAAGCTGTCTTCCGTGCATGATTTTACGATGTAATCCATCGTCCGAATTTCTCATGATGTTGACCATCTGAGGTTGATTTAATTTGGAGTCTTTCAAGTTCTACAGGACAATCAGACGTTTTCTTTGTCCACCTAAGATGTTGTTTGGCCAGAGTAGAGATTTCACGAGTTTACTTTTTTAATATAGATGGTATCGCAATCAACGTAATCTAATCGGTGTTGAAATAATTGAGATCTTATCCTTTACACAAACTAAAGCATTTCGAAGGGTGGTAGTAGCCTTGTAGCTTGCTTTGATTTAGTTTATCTCAAGACTCTATAGTTCTTCTGCTGTACAATGGTGGCGTGGTAAAACTACGGTACCAATCCATAGTATTTCATTCGAACTGCTGCTGAATAGTAAATCATCTTATTTCATTACATTTTTAATAATATGCATGGGAAACTACTGGCAAACTCAGCGAATTCAATATTGTGTTGTTGAATGGAATGAACCACTTCGTAGATGCCCAACTTCCAGATCAACAGGCTAGATTTCGTAAGGATCGATCGTGTACTGACCGAATCGCAGCATTACGGATCATTTTGGAACGATCAGTTAAATGGAACTCACCACCCTACATCAACTTCATTGACTACGAGAAACCATTTGATGGTGTGGACAGGACACTACGGCGTGCCTGAGAAGATAGTCGACATCATACGGAATTCTTACGATTGATTAAACTTCAAAATCGTGCTTGGGGAACAGTTGACACACTGTTCTAGGTGAAGATCGGTGTCACTGGTGTCAACTCTGATATTCAGAACATTCAGCTGACGAGTCCCGAATAGGATGAATGCGCGTCCTAGTTTGCTTTTCTACCAGCCATACACCTCTGATCATCATAATCTTTACATAATAGTTATATTGCGCAATCGTCTGTGATTGTCACAAGAGTACTTCTGTCCTTTATCATAGACACAGACAATCAGCGATTGAGACCAGTCGGATAGGATTACGTCCAGTTATCGAATTCTACCTAACATCTCAGTCAATCTAACTGCTTAAACTGGATCACCATACATAAGAATCTCTGAGGTAAGCCAGTCAGCCACTCCGTTTCAACCTCACTTTCAGTTATTTACACCTTTTTCAACTTCGTCAAGAGGAGGAGGTGGAGGAGGACATGAACGAACCTGCCAATCAGGTTGACTGGAGATGATGGGTAAGTGGAGTGTGACCGAAGGACAGTTGATCTGCTCCCTTAAGTGTTCTCACCATCGATCCAATCTTCTGCATTGACGATGAATAATACGCTCATCATTTTTCGAGATAGTCTAGCTCATTGACTCACTCACTCACTTACAGTCAGATTACTAATGTAGGTTTCCTTGATAAGTCTGAATAGTTGCTTACTATTACACATTGCCACTGCCTTTTCCGTACCTTGCTTTCGCTACCCACCACTCTTCGCGATCATTGCGTAGGCTTCTTATCAGCCCTACCTTAAGCTCACTCCGCTCTTCGACATCTTCATAGCCACAAAATCAAATACATCAACAAAGAAAAACAACATTCCAACAAAAAGTTGAAGAAACCAAAGAACATTTATTTTTAATAAAACATGGTTCAGTCGAACACATAATCATGATGGTAAGAATACGAATATAAACCATAGGTATAAACAGCTTCTATTCATAGAAAGACTAGACTAAGAAACATCATGATTCATCGCTTAACAAACATTAAAACAAGCCTCTAGCATTACAAATGTTCACAATAGATTCAGCCAACACATTCTGTGCAACTTCCTAAAATCATTTGCACCAATTAACCACCTTCCTTTCGTACACAAATTGATTGACTGGTTCTTTTGAGCCAATTGGTAATGTGGCCAAATAAAATGGTGTATCAGCACCTACAACAAATAAAACAGCATCAAATTCTGCTACAAACACTTGTGACTGATGTAATTTTGCTAACCACCCAATCTGCTTCAGTGAATCTACCAATATCCGAACTGCTTATTGACGACATACATTGACTGGTATCGGGAAAGTACACACATTCCACCAAAATTGATTCCTCAAACATTCAGAAATAACATCGGAACTACAATCATATGTCTTGATATGAGGTGACTTTACCTTCGCCTAAATATACTTATCACCTACCCTACGAAATTCGATCTCATGACTAACCATAGCTGATCATTCAATTGTAATCTGCTCTGCTCTGCTCAATTTATTTCAACAACGAAATGTGAAGCCCAAACGACTTTGGTACATGCTTACTCTCAGTAAGTGATTATATCAAAATTATAGAAATTTCAGAGAAAAAATATATATTCATATACACTCACCTTCATCGGTTGTCTTCACTCCTTTATGGTCAGTCATATCAGTGTCAACGAAACCAGGACAACACTGCCAAAATCACAAAAATGAAAAAATAGAATGATAGCTCCAGCTTCACAAAATTATTTAATTCATTTCAGTGTTAGGGATGTTCTTGTTCAACATAATCACCATGGAAATCTATTGAACGAGATTTTGAAAATAAAACTAGTCAATTCCAAGTAATAACAACCTCACAAATAATCACTTTCACCGTGCTATTCATAAAACCTGCCTTCTACAGTCGGACGGTCAGAACTCGGTACGCACGCTCATCAGTTCAATTGGCTATAACACATTAGCACTCCATAATTGTAGACGTAATAACACTAATATTGGTGACGGAAAACCTTAGGGGTCGCAAATGTGCATCCTGAAATAACGAACCAATAAAATAAAACTTTAAAAACGAAAGGAGGATAAGAAGAATGTCACGAATAACTCTCGGAATTCGGACCTAACATGGAAGCTGAGTTAGTGTTGGTCTTATTGACTTGACAGATTGACTTCAGCGTCGAAATTACGTCTATCCGCGACCAGTCACGCAGGACCTTTCGAGGGAAGTTTTCAACGTGTCGATCCGGCTCTTCAGAAGGTTTTATCTCCAGAAACGGAATATCTCGA